AACTAGCTGTAAGCGTTAAGTGCGTTGGCCGATGATCTATTCTAACGATTAATTTTTTCCACTTAAATCGGGCCACACCGAGGCCTTTCCTTTCTTTCTATCTCTCACTCCCTCACTTTCTTTCTCGTAATTAAGTCTTTGCATTTATGTATTTATTATGTGTAGACATTTTTGTAAATTGGCCACCAAAACGTGTGTATCGGGGTGCTCACAATGTGCACCTTCGCGAACCGAGAAAGCCACGTGAAATGGACAGAATAAACCGAAGAAAATAAAAGATAATTAAATTAATTTTTTTTATGTTTTCGTTTGTCTGTAAGGTCGGAGAAAGGTCACTCTTGGTCGACGGTGTGTGTCGACGGCTGAAACAAGTGTCAGTGTGTGCGCCACGAATGTGGAAAACCGAAATAAGCTGCTGAGTTGTTTGGTCTATAATTAAGTAAAGAAAGCATTTATTACACGAAAATTATCACCCAGACACTGATAATAATAACCATGTCTATTGAAATTGAAACCAATTGTTTCGATTAAATTCTAATTTTTTTTCTTCCCAAATTTAAGGCAGACACAGGTCACCAGCTGACATCTGTAATAAAAAAAAACCCTTTGAATCGATTCGGTTTATCATTTTCGTTTGTACTCTTCGACAACAATCGATTTCGTTTTGCGAACCTTCTCCGGACCCAAAAACATACGTGCAGGAAACGACATTTGAATATACTCTTAAAATTATGTATTTTATGAATAGCAATGACAAATCGTTATGAATTTCCTTCATTCGCATTTCATGGTTAATCATTTTGAACAGACAGGGCAGCGCTGCGTTGTGCGCACTCAGTAATAAAAACCGACGTTGAGCGGCATTTTTTTAAATGAAAATGTTCATTTGATTGCAATTTATGATTGAAAAAACTACTCAACCAAATATGATACGAATGCCACTTTTTATGGTTTTGAAATTGACAAATAAAAACAGAATTTATGCGCCAGGCACAAGCAGAGAAAAGAAAATTACGCTGCAATGCAGTTTTTTTTCAAATGTATGAACAAAATTGTGACTGCACTGCAAACGGCCGTTGCATGAATGAATTCGATCGTTGGCTAGAGTCAGAGAGAGAGAGAGAGAACGAGAGGCCCAAAGACACCACTCGAGGGAGAGAGAGAGAGAGGGCAAGAAGAAATGAGTGAAAGAGAAATAAGACGGAGAAAAAACTCCAAGCAAAAAAAACAACACATGTGACGCACTTGGATCTGTGGTTTTTCAACGCATACGAGCAGAAGAAAACAATTGATTTTTTCGGCCCAAAGACGTTGCCGAAGAGAGAAAAAAAGTTATGAATAACAAAACAATTTCACAGAGCGAAGGAAAAAAACGCCAACTCAACTTACCATATGCTTTGAATACGATGATTTATATACAATTTTGTGGTTGCCGCCGACGACAATCGGTATTACGGTTGCATTGTCATGAAAGAAATTGGGCGTAAGACATGTCAAACGAAGAAAAAAAAAATCGATTTCTCGTACTCTCCCAATGTCCTTTTTTATTATTTCATGTCTTTTCACTCTCTGCGTTGTGTGACCAGAGGATATTTTCATGTATTTTTTTCCCTATCAAATGTGTTATTTTCTTATTCGATTTCTTCGAAAAGTGTGTGTTTTCTTAGTCGGAGTGAAGTTCTTATCGCATTTTTTCTGGTAAAACACGTCTCAATTGCGTTGAAATGTGTTCAATTTCCCTTGATTTCCGATATAAGTTTTCATTCGGAGCGTGTCACATATTTCACCCCGACAAACAAGAAAAAGTCAAACTTTTCAATTTTAATTGCTACCTTTGACAAGACCGATAAAAAAGTCCTACGCAATTTTCATTTGAACTTTTTTTTTTCTTCAGTCGTTTCCACGAAGTGTTTTGCGTTTTCCGTCAATTACCACTCTAACATATCACCTGGCAATTAGTTAATTATAGCGATGGTCTAAAAAGCAATAAGAAAAACTTTTTCTCAAGCTACAAATTAGAAACTTCGGAAACACCGAACTCTATCAATAAATCAACATTTACTTTTCCAGGTGAAATTATATTCAACGCAATTTATTTTAATCAACGGCTTTGTTCGAAACTTGATAATGTTTCCATACGTGTGTTGCCTTTGTCACTTTGACGCAAATTCCATTTTTCTTAACACCACATTTTTCAAATTGACACACAAAGTTTCTTCTCGCTACGCATTTTCCTTTGATTTAAACTCCTTTTTTTCCCTTTCCATTCGATTGAATTGGACTTTCTCAATTAGAACCACGGCCTGTCACTTTACCATCAATTACACTATCACTTTGATTATACTCATTTCGACAAAATGCCTTGGGTTTTCTTTTTAATGATATCCTTTTTAAACGAAACATTTCAACGTGTTTTTCGTCGAGAAGTTTTGATTCGAAATACCGAACCATTTCCATGAAAATTGTTGACTTCCATTGACATGAATGTGCGTCAATTGGGAGGAAAATGGTTTCAGGTGAAAACTGACCTTTTAACTACTCAAGTCTCATCATCAACAATCCACGTCATTTTACAATAATTCATTAGATCTATCGATGTCTAACAGTTCAACAGATTCACACGAATTTTGTTTGCCAACAGTTTTCGAGCAATTTTTTATTGGATTTCTTTTAGCTCAAATAATTCGAATATCGATCAATTCCATTGTTCATTGGTAATCAAAACAACATGTTTATTTTATTTGTAATTGAATTCCAAATATACGTTTGAATTAAATGAATCCCAATGGATCCGCTTAAAATTTAACGTGAGATTAGCGTGGCTTTCGAAAGAAAATCTGGACGTGGAGATTAAAATATGTACATTCGAAAGAAATCACTTGAAGAAAAGTGTTTCTATCATTTTTTGTTTATGTTATCAAGTCACGTAAACAAAATACAAAATATTTAAAGAAATTTCTTACCTTCAGGTTGGAGGAAGATTTAGTTTGAGTTTTGGAGCAAGATGTTGTGTATCCAATTGGAGATTTTTTCACGGGTGAACGCGATACGCTTTGATGAAAGCCTACAGTCGTTCGATGAAGCTTTCATAATTTTAATATACATATTAAATACTGAACGCCTAGACTTTCAATGCTACGAATGCACGAAAGAAGTGGGGATAGCAATGAAAGCCTAGGCGTTCAGTATTTAAAATGTATATAAAAATTATGAACCCACATCGAACGACTGTAGGCTTTCATCAAAGCGTATCCCGTTCACCCGGGTAGTTGGTTATCAATATGAGTTTTGCAATAAATCATAAAACTAAAATTCTTGTTCGGAAATCCGAATTAATCTTCGATTTCGAGCCTTTGATAATAATGCATAATCATCACTAATTGTACATGGATTAAACATGTCTAAACAGAGAGAAAAAGAATTTTCTGAAAGACGATTCGTGTTGAAAAGTCTAATGAAATTGGATGAAAAGACTATGAGTTTAATAATTGAGCCTATCTTCAAGGTCAAAATTAGTTTTAGCACTGCGAATAGTGTAGAATAAATTCGCGATAAAGCGATTTCCAATGAGGAGACTAATCTTTAAAAAAACGATTATTCTTTGAATGCTTTGAATTGGCAAATCAAAGCTGAAATCATCGTTATTAAGTTATTTTGGCCATTTTTTCGTTTTATTTTTCATCGATAAGTGTGAGATCTGTGCAAAAAAACGAATCCATAGAAACCGTGTTATTCCAGATTATTTAATCCTTAGACACAGTGAGATCTTCTCTATGAGAACAATCGTATTAAAAAGATATAAATGTAATTTATGTTTAGAAATAATTATTTACAGCTTATAAGCTGTTGAATTTTCTGTTTTTAGCTAATTTTTGCCAAAAATTTGCGTTCTACGATAAAAAGTTCAAATCAAGATGAGCGAATGAATTCGATACCTACCCACGATGATTTCACCATTGAAATTGTGTATGATATGCTCTGGCGTTTAAAATAGTTTACCTTCAATACCTCCAACGCCGACAACTACCAACAGTTGTTTGCTGGCTTTTGCATACGCCTACATCCATAATTTTCCGCGCTTTTCCCCTCATTGGAACGTCATTAAGCGGACAACCATCAACAGACCATAAAATCCGCAAGAAGAGCATAAGAAGAGCACACAAATCTACCCTCCAAAAAGAATCATCAAATGAAACAATGTCTTTGATTTCAGTTCAATAATATTTAGAATTTATTTACACGATGCTTTCTTCAATTTGTTTCAATCATAATTCAATATTTGTTTGTTTTTTTTTGATTAAATACAGATTACACATTTTGTTGTTGAATGAAATGTTAGCTACGAAAACGAGATAAAACGTGTGTGTGTTTTTTGGGAATAAATAAAATGTCGTTTGAAAACGGTTTGTTGTTTTTTTTTCTCTCATTTTAAATCGAATCTAAATTCCGTGCGCTGTGTTAAATATTGCAGTGTATTGAAAATGTCAAAAATTTGTTTTTTCTTCACTTTATTTTAAATCTATTTTTTAAATAGATTCTTAGAAGCTAACGAAACACGTAGATTTGTGTTGGTGCGAGGCGCTGGCCTCGGGCCATTACATCTTTAGGATTTTCTCAATATATCATTTGTTTTGTTATGAATACAATAAATCGTAGGATCATTATCATCATCATCATCATCATCATCATTTGGGACTGGGTCAAAAACAAAGGACGTGAATGAAGGGGGCTAATAGGGGGAGCAATATACAATTCTTTATACGCAATTAAATTTAATCTAATAAATATGCATAATGAGAAAGAGAGAGTGTTTTTGTGTTGTGTTGTGTAGTGTGTTTGTGTAGTGTGTTTGTGTTTGTGTAAGTTTCTGAGTGAGATTTCTTTCAGTTAAACTTAATCTTAATACGTTTAGTTTACACAATCTAAGTGACGTCCATTCAACACGTCATTTTATCTAAATATTCACTTGTTATTTTTTGTTCTGTTTTTATTCTTCAGGATTTTTTTTGTAGTGTGTCTTTAATTACAAATAAACGAGGATTATACTTTTCATAGAATATTCATTTGTTTTCTTTAATATATATACTTCTTCACATATATACGTTTATGTTGTGAGGGGTTTATAAGGGAGAGGAATTTGTTTAATGCAATTTTTCTTTTAAATGTCTTATTCATGTAAATTGTTTAGCTTGCACTTACTTAAATATATGCCATTGTTTGTATTTATTTTTAAATTTCAATGAGACTTTTTATGATTTTCATTTTTTTCTTCAGTTTTAGTTGTTGTAGGTGTGTGTGTGTTAGTGTGTGTGTGAGTGTGATTAAATTTGTGACCCGTGCTAATGGGTCATTTTGGATTGCGTAACGCATTCAATCGACTCTTCGGTGCTTCAATTCCATTGATGGCTATGCCAATAGTGGAGCCGTTATGCCATTTGAGTGCGGCACGTCGAATGGCTCCGTGGTGATGTTGACATTGATGTCAGGTGAAGAATGATTGGCGTTCAATACCGTATCGGCCTCGCGTAAAAATGATTGCGTTGTAAATGACTTGTCGTCGTGTCACTGATCGACCAAGTCGATACGCGGTGACTCTCGATCATCATGAATCGAACCATTGTTCGGTTTATCTGCATCCAAACCGTTCACCATTTTTTCGATACTTTTCAATTCAGACGGTGAATTTCGCATCGATTTTGTGGTATCATTCGAAACAACAATGGTCGGTGAAACGGAAATGGGCCGTTGTTGTGAATTTAATGGTGGTGAATGTATCGATTGATGGTGATTTCGCATTGGCCGTGGACTACTGCTTAAACTGCGTGGACCCGTTTTTGACGGTGTCACCGCATCAAAAGCCGATCCCGAACCGGATGACGGAAGATTATATGGTGCAAAACGATTATTTGAACTTGACGACAATAAACTACTACTGCCCGATGTGACTGGATTGTTATTGTTATTGCCTTTGAGGGCGTGTAACGGTGATACTTGCGAATGACCTGAATAATGACCGAAAAATGCTGGATGCTGAGCGGCTAGAGCCAGTTGAGCATTGAATAGGTTAAAATTCAAATTTTGATGATTCATTGCAGCAGCCGCAGCCGGATTGTGTAACAATGACAAATGATGTGGCGGATAAATACCGTGCGGATAGAGATAAGGCAATAGATGTGGAGGCGGATGAATCGGCGGACCAACGGATATATTTGGTGCTGGATATGAAACCGAACCCGATGACGATGTATTGTTCGCCTCTTTTGGACTATTGGCCGTTGGACGAAATGCTCCAGTGCTACCGCCAATACTTTCCGAACAACTTGAATCGCTGCCATCACGCTCTGATTCATCACCCGTCGCATTGTGCATTTGCAAACGTTTACGTAGCACATCCTCATTTGATAAGTGCGCATCACCCACGCCAGCAAAATGATTGAACCAAGCCGCTGATTTGATGAAGAAAATAGAAAAAAATAGAAATAACATGATAAGCTATTGGTTGAAATGGATTTCTTTCGATTGGTTTTTTTGTTGCTGCTACACCTACAGTTATGTGTAGGAAGTAAAACAAAATGGACGATTGTGATGGAAATTGATTTGAAGGATGGAACAAGATTTCTTGAGATTAACTTTTTCAAGGAAAAAAATAAATATTTTTTTCTTAATGAATCAAAATCTTTCAACCAATCGATTTTTTTTTGAAATTGAATGATTTGGAAGGCAAAAAGTGGTTTCTGGGATCACATATAGTCAATTTGGATAGAAAAGAATCGAAAATTGTCAATATACCTGCATGTGAATTGCTGTTGAACTGCGACAAATGGCCTGTTAATGGAAAAAGATGGATTTTCATTTGAAATCAACCCAAAAGCAACCGCAAAGACTTTTTACTCTATGAAGAGCAGAAAAATGGTTTGGATTATTCAATAAAAAAAAAAACAAATACTCACTCATAGGCAAAAGAGGGCTTTGAGGTGGTCCAACTACATCAAGAAGTTTATCGTCATCGTCGCCGCACAGATCAGCCCGTGTACGTTGATCAAAGTGATGTAGAGCTCGAGAGCTAGTTACATGTGTTGGATTCAATTTGTCTGAATCGCTGCCAACGCCGCGTTGTGCCAGCAACGCTTGCCTACAACTGGTAGAAAAAACACAAGCATTTCGATTAAAATGTGTTCAAATCAACGATTTCAGTGAAAAATGTATCGATTTCATTAACTATCTTCCTCTCTATAGCAAGATAGAAATAATGCGTACAAATTCAATCAACTGAAAAGTATCGAAGGTGCTGTTGTCAACTAACTCTCGAAATGTGTGCATTTGAAATTGGATGCGGACATAAAAGCAAACGTAGACAGTTTGAACGACTGAAAAATCAATAAATAGTGAATTTTCAATTTTCATGAAAACGATGGAAGATTCAACGGAACAGTCATCTAATCTAGTTGAATTTGCATACGCAACATAGAGTCGGGCGTTTGTGAATATTGCGCGACGATGGCGCGTGAATTGAGTCGAGTGTAATATGCAAATTTAATGTGATAAATTGAACCACGCCTCAACCACTTTTGATCAAATACAAACAAATCCGCCTGTCAATATGCACACGCACATTTGCACAAAAAGCAACACCAACGGCAGCGGCAGCAGCAGTTGCAAAAGGATTATCGAACACAACAAGCGAAGTACAAATTGCCAGTCGGGCTAATAGCAATCATCGTTACTTGAAATGTGTGTATCAATTGGCGTTGCTTCGATGACGTCGAGAAACGCGATGGTCGCGCTCTTGAATGGAATGAAGCGCGAGAATATCAACGTTCTCATCGCTTTTTGCCTGTGATAAGATTTAATCGCACTGAAACTTTATCGACAGAATCCAATTTGTTGGCATGAAAATCAATAAAACATTTTAATAAATTATAAAAATTCGCTAGAAAATTGGCACAACATTGCAACAGAAGTTCTTACGAAGTAGAAGTGTGATGGTGTTTGCCACCCCTTTTGCTGAAAATTGTTTCGTTGACACCCGTCATAAGAAACCTCTATCATTTAAAATTGCGCTATTTCGAGCGATAACACTCGCCACCCATCGATTGCTAGAAAAAATTGTAATCCGAAAATTATAGACCATTCTTCGGCCAGCAGTGTGAATGCATTTTTATTTTCTCCTAATCGAAACATGTGTAGTTTTTTCTTTGTTATGGTTCGCGCCGTCGAAATCAATACGCGTATTTCTTTTCGTGTTCAGGGAAGAAAAAGGAACTCGAGGAGGGTTCCGCATTTTAATATGTAATCGCTTAATATGCACCGTTCCTTTCCGTTCAATGGAAAATTATGATGTGTTTCGTCGAGTATGTACATTGAAACCGTTCATCAAATGCGCGCTTATTTCTTCTCTTTTTTCCCGTTATTCTTCCTTACAACTTTCTTTCTTTTCTCTCGCTCGCTCGCGCGCTCGTTCTTCTTTCCTCTTTCTCTCTGTCGACCCGACGGTTTTTCCGTGTCTTGAAGTTTATTTTTTTCTCGGCTGTTTTGCCGCTCGTTTAGAATTTCATCCCGCTATTTTTTCACCCCGATGGGTGACAGTGCGTGATTCAGTTAAGAAAATTACATGTTCCGTGCATGTGGTTAAAAAAAGAGAAGAAAAAATAAACGGTAAAACGTGCCCCATAACGAAAGAGCAGAAAAAAAAGTAGATCGAAAATTAGAAACTTCAGAGGATTACGGCGTACATACACACAAAAAACAACCACAACAATGACGCAAAATTTTCATGTGTACACAATGGTTTTCGCTTACGGATTTTTTGCACGTCGTCTAATGACTATGTTGCAAATTGTTATGTACGCTGTGTGAGACAAAGCGTCAAATTTAACACATGCACCACACATCACAGCTCGCTTTTTTCTCGCTCTCTTTCTCTTGGTGTATCGTTCAGCCCGAAACGGATTATTCCTTAATCTTTAATGGACGTAAAATGGGCGAATGGAAAAAAAATGGTTAGAGAACGACTGTTTGATGGAATGATGGTTTGCTTTTTACCGTCATTTGAATTTCTAATTCGGAAACAGGGGAGAAAAAGGAAGAAAATTGACGCAATTTTTCATTTACGAAAATCTTGACCAAAGTTCATGACATGTTTGAGCCCGATGTATGGCCGAAATTCGAATAGTAAATCAGATTTTCGTTGTTTTCGATGGAATTTGAATGAATTTCGTTGTTTTCAATCAAATTGAAATGAAGTTTGACCGTGTGACCAAATCGGTGATTTCATCAGCAAAACCATTTTTCTCAGCAGAATATCACAAAAAACTGCCAGCTCTGGCAAAAAAATGTATGCAAAAGTAGAAAAAACACAAGCTGTTCAAAATTGACACATCAAAAATGCCTTTAAAAAACAATGACATTCACTTGATTAAATCTTGATCTGATTTGGAGCAAAATTGATTGATTTCTTCTCTCTCCTAATGCGAATCGTTGTTGATTTTCTCCCAACTTATCCATTTCAATGCTCTCCGTCTCACAGTAGAGACATACATGTCTTTTCAACGTTGATGTTAGTCAATTTGGTTCATCAATGACACGGACTCGAAAATACCAAAATTAAATGGTTTCGATGTTATCGGTCGACGTTGATTGATTGAAGATTACGAAGCGGGATTGATAGTGATTCACCGAAAAATTGACCAACAATAATCCAATCAAGAGCGATAAAATGTGCTGTGTAATGTTTGCATACGTTGCCCGTATCAAGTTTCCCCGTTTAAAATCTGTGTGCATCAGTTGAAAAGTTGAAATTCCTCGTTGTCTCCTTGAAACGAGAATATTGAACTTGGGGTAGTTGGCCACATGTGCCAGCATACATCATGGATTATCATCTAAATACAGAACAAATCACTTCGAATGCGGAAAAATTGCGTAATATAAATCCGTTTCGGATCAAACGTGCCGTCCGACAGGAAAACGTCTGTAAAATTCACATCTGATTACAATGCAATCGTGTATTGGCAATGGGTCTTTTGACATTTTACCGTTCGTCGCCCGCATCGCAAATTCAATTAGCTGCACTGTGTGGCACTTTGTCTACTCTCTACTCGATTCACTAGACTTTTCTTCGGTTTATGTCTCTTTTTTTCTACATATTTTTTCTTAGTTGTATTTTCTAACTTAATATAGTCGTGTTAACTGAGTGAACATTCGTCACCTTTGGCAGCCCACAGCAAATGAGCATTAAAATGTGGAACACATTGCAATTTGTGGCACACTACATGCGGAAAAGAGAGAGAGTGAGAGAGAGAGAGATTGAGTAAGTGACAATAAATTGGCTCATAGAGAGTTTTACACATCGCATTATATCGAAATGCATCGATTTTCCGTCGAAATAGAAAGCAAGAACAAAAATTGCATAAGGCGGCATAGAATCAACCATATCACATAACGTGCCAAACAAAATAAACCGACCAAACAGGATTAACGGACGTGAAAGACATTTTCCTATGCAAGTATTGCATATATTTTTGCTCACTCGCCTCACAACAAACAAAAGCGCATTACACACGTAATACACGGGCAATGAAACGGATTGAACGGTACAAGAGGGCTGTCATTTTGGCCCCGGCTTTCAACGATGAAATCAATGATGATTTTCAAACGTGTAATGCATCAGCTTACAACATAATGTTGGGCTCTTTATTGAAATTGGCTTTCGGATCGACTGTCAACATTCTTTTCAACGCGAGGCTTTTCAAAAGAATGCTAAAGCAAAAAGAAAAGAAATAGACGAAGACGAAACATGAACCACTTTGTGAGTCAATAATGCAAAATTAATCGATTTGAAAATAATTCAACGACTAAGTTCGTGTATTTACTTTCGAAATGTTGTTTTTCTTCGAACTTTTTGTTCTTTTGACCGTGCTTCGATGTTCATCGTATATTTTTGAAACGTTTGGTGTTAGAAACTTGTGGAAAAAACCGCTTTTGAAATCCGTAATCGTGCCCCGTCTCACCGTGTTAAAATAGAAGCAAAAAAGTGTTTCATTCCGTCAGGCACCAAGTTTGATTTAATTATGAATTTACAGCGATGTATTTCGGTCATCGATAGGGCGGAGTTAGTGCGCGATTCAATAATTCATCGAAGAAATCATTTGAAGAAATTCAAATTAATATCGAATTGTCGATTCTTTGTGAATATGAAATACACTTCTTTTGTCTTTGTCACTCGTCTTTTGTGATGGGAGAAAATCAAGCAAAAGAATTGAGTGTTTGACCAAGACAAAGGCAATTTGAAAATATAACTCAGTTTGACAAAGTCAATTGGTTCAGGCATAAATGTGTACAGCAGACGACGTTGACGACGTTTCGTAGCACAGGAAATTAATTCAATTCGTGTCTTTGTCGCACCCGTTTGACTGCCGGCAATGCGATCCCATGTATGAATACCAAACAATTGCCATTTCTTTTTGCGGTAAGCGAACAATTGAACGATATATTTTTTTTTCATTCAACTCGATATGTGTTTTTTTTTTATTCGCTCTCTTTTATACTTGTTTTGTTGATATTGGAATTGCATTGCCTGCGGCATCAAGCGGATATTTCGATATAAATTGTAACAATTGCTTCGCATCGGAATGGAGTACGTATAGATGCGAAAGTGGTTCGATGAAAATAACTTTTGCACGCAAATTAGCTATAGAATGCAAACAATGAGAGAAAAAAAAAATAATAAAAAAAATAGTCAAAGCGGCGAGATGATTGAGTCGCACACATCGTACGTGAGCGCGCGCGCGCCATTGCTCGCAACCACTCCGGATGCCGTTAATTAGAATTCTTCTGGTGAAATCGACAGCAATAAAAATTGTCACCCTTTTTGCCAGCAACAATTGACACTAGCAAATTCCTTGGCATTCCATGGCTGCTTAATCGCACGCCACAGCATGCATAGGGTATTAATTTCAGTGTTTGTGCATCACTTTAGCCACCCCGGTAACCCTTTCAAACAGTCGAAATTTTCCACTCTCTCTCTCTCTCTCTCTGGACCGAAATCGGAATGCCGTTGGGCATTTCTTCTTTTCTCTCCATTGAAATCACACCATTTGAATTGATGCTGTTGTATTCTATTGTGTGTGAACCGAATAAATAACCGGCCAACGAGCGAGCGAGCGAGAGAAACATATCACAATATTTACAATCGCATCGAACAATACGATTGGCGACGACTGAAAACGTCTAAAAAAATTAGTTCAAATAACGTTCACTCCACAGAACAATGACACCACAAAATCGGTTTGTCGGCCCACAATCCCGTGCGAATGCGCGCCAAATTATGCCCAGGGAAAGAAATACGAACAGAGAGAACCATTTGAATACGCACGAAACAATCTAACGAAAAATGTTCATTCACACACACACATTTTTCCACAGTCAACAAAAGTCTTATGACCACAAAATCCAACGGCACCAAACATTCTTCTCACTCCGAATCATTTCATTCAGTTGAAATCACATTTTTTTGTGATAGGTGAAATTCGTTTCTTTCTTCGAATAAATCTATTTATGCTCTCGAATGAAAATAATAAATTGCCCATTTATTTGGGAATACTTACTTTTTTTCCCGTTTACCGGCGCCCGAATCACGAAAACCCTTTGCAAATGGATTGTTGTCGATTTTCAATTGAGTTATCTAGAGGGAATGAAGATTGAGAATTAATTTCTAGGGTAAGATTTTGAGGCCATGGCTTTAAATTCAAGTCTTTAATAAGCAATTGTGAAGATATTTTATTCATAAATGAAGGAAATTCAATTGTGTTTTTTTTCTTCAAGAAAACATCCTACATGCGGCAAAAATCGTTTAATCTTCAAATTTTTTTTCTTAATTTCCTACACATTTTTCTATTGCCTTATTTTCGTCGACTGAAGTGGATAACATCAACAAGTGATTACATACAGCCTACGCTTACCTTTTCATTTTGATATGCAGTGACTGCGATAAATTCGGTTTCCTTGAAAACGTAGGTGCGAAATGTGGAGTAGGGTAGTTTGAGAATATCGTTGGCTCGTACCAAATGAAATCGTGGTTGATATTTATGCATTGAGTTCAGTATCGTCTGTGGAAGATAGAAAGATCATTTAAAAAAATTGCTCAAATGTTGGGAGTTCAACAACAAAATCAAAAAGGTAAAGGAAAGGCGAAATAAGAAAAATTAAGATAGCTGGTCGAAAATTTAATGACGTCGAGTGGAAAGTTTGTGATGTGCAAAAAAAGACTCGTGTCTTTAAATTGAGTCGTCGAATTGGTTTGTTTCTTCTGTTTCATAGACATTCTCATGATATGAGAGACGTGAATTTTGTGTTACGATTTTGGGGAACAGCACAGAAAAAATGCTGGCTAAAAGAGTTAATAATGGTCGTGAATCATCGTGATTTGAATATTTTTCCGACAACAACAACTACAAAAACAAAATTGTTTATTCACAGTCTAAGACCACCAAAGTCGTCATGAATTTCATAAAAAGTACTGTATATTTGTGTTTCGTGTCGTTTGATTCAGGTTTCAGATGATTATTTTCGAATGTTTTTTTTTATTTTTCATTCGTTCTTCTGTCGAATAAAAACGAAACGCTTAGCTCTTATTAATAAGATCAATATATTCGGCCGAATTTGTGGAAGGTGAAGAAATCATTCGAAACAAAACGTAAAAAATAAAAGAAGAAATTAAAAACAATTTTACATAATGAGTTGAGGCGAGTCGAAAAGACACACATCGTGTTAATGCCACCAAATTAAGAATATAAAAAAGCGAAGATTCTCAGCTTAAGACAGCGCGAGTAATTAAAAAGATTACAAGCTCTTCCACTTGAGAACCGTGTGGTGTGAGCGACAGACACACACACACTATTTTTTCTCTTCTTCTTTGGTGTTTTTTTTTTGTTGTTCATTTGGGATGCTCTTGCACAAACACACTCATGGAATATATATAAATTTATGCATAAATGAAATCATAAAATAAAATCAACAAAAATAAACATACGGGACGCGAACGAGTGAGGGAGAGAGTAATGATGAGGAGTCAACGGTGTTGGGAAAGCATTTGTTTAACACAACATTATGCGCGAGAGAGCCTGCGTGAGCCCCGTGTGTGAATGCAAACGAGTGATCGCATCGTCGTCGCCTTGCTCACTCTCAAATTGGATCCGATGAAACGGTGATAATCAATACCATTATTTGCTTTCTGCTTTTGTCTTTGTCCACATTTGCTCATGCTCCGGGCTTTCAACAGATATAAAAAAAAAACGCACATACACACCATTGAGAGAGTTCATTCAGCGCGCTGACCGAACCTTATTTCGATCACATGAACAAAAAAGCACCACGGCCAATCTTATTAATGCACATAATAATTAATTATGAATGCTATTTTAAATGTTTCATTCATTGAGTTTTTGATCCGTTTGATTTCCATTGAAGCGAGTTTTGTACGCGGCGAGCGCGCTCGTTGTGTCATCCATGCAACCGTTTAAATCAAAAAAATATCGGATTTGCATTTCTTCTTTCTCATTGATTTAGATATGGAATTAATTGGTTAAGCTCATAAAACGGATTGCGTTTTTTTTCTTCTGTTTGCATTTCCAACTGAAATGATTGTATCAAGTTCAAAGTTGAAAAAAAAGCGTCGGCAAAGATCAAACAACGTGATATGGTCATTTATGCGATGATTTTATCGCTTTAAATTGCGGAAGAGTGGCACTTTCGAATTGATATCGTCCCAGTTTCACTCGATTTTCTGCATTGATTTGGGATTTTTTTTGCTCGTCTGCTTTTGGAAATGCATTCATTTTTGGTGATTTTGTTGTTTTTTTTTCGATTTCGTGAGAACGCGACAATAACTTTTCACAAATTATCACCGAAGAGGTCGGAAATCTGAGCAAAGCTCTGAACAAAATAGCCGATTTTTGATTGCCGGCATCGAAATCGTTGTATTTCGAGCCAAATCCACATTTTTTTTTTTGGAACTGATCACGCCAAAAATCTTAAACGATTCTCTCCAATTAATTATTTCATTGGATTTTTATTACGTTCGTCACGTCCGCTTCAAAGTATTTCGATTTCTTCGAACGTATAAAATCAAGCGCTGATGAAACGTACCGGTCAAATATCGTTTATTTAATTAGATTGATATCGGTTTGTAATCGCGACGGAGAAGTTTTGACAGAAAACCAACGACAACTAAACCGACTGTTATGAGACTGTCGTCGATCATCAATATTTGCGATCACCTTGATATTTCTTCATTTTATCGTCGTTTTGCCACCAAAAAATTGCCGTCTCTCTAGTCCGAAAAAAGAGACAATGCGCAAGCATCAAACCACACACACCAGAATGTAAAAAAAGAAAAGAAACAAGAACACATAAAAATGGAAATATCAACACCTTTTTTTTACTCTCTCGACTTTTAATTAGCGGTTTTTTCTACCTCTCACTCAATCTCATTAGGGCACGGAACGGCGCGTCACCGTCGCGCACTCATCACATTTTTATAACGAAATCGGGTGTCCAAACCAAACAAAGCGCACACAAAACGTACACATTCAAAATAGCTTGGCTGCCTTTTTTTTATTTTGACTTCGAATAGTGAGAAATGTGGTCGAATCGGGCCGTGGGAATGAATTTATAATGAACGATTTTTCTAATCGAACGAAAAAAAAACAACCAAATCAAAATCGGAATCACTCACAATATCCAATTTTCGATTTATGAGCTAAACATACGACGGAAACGATCAAAACCAATTTTGAATGTCAAAATCACCTTTTACGATACACAGTGCTTTTTTTTGCGCGACATTTGAATGTATGCACTAACAACATATATTTAAAACACTCTCAGTTTAACGCATATTTTACACTGTCGATGATGACTTTTTTCGCGTTGATATTTATTGCGCGTTTGGACATTTCTCGAATGATTGAATAATGAAAATATTTGTTTGTTTTTGACCAATTTGGCATTTCGGAGGTAAATAAGATTACATCAAATCGCATCAATTATAAAAATATCCATTTGTTTGCATTTTTGCAAGGCAATAAAGGTGCTAACACCTAGCTATCATACGATGCAAGTTAAACCATCCTCGTCTAATACCATTGATTTTACATGTAAAATAACAACAAGAGTGACCTCTTGTAGCGGCACAGTTGAAACTAACGAAACAAACACAATTGAACATGTCATTTTCATGTTCAGCGTTGGTTCTGTTGTTTACCGTATAGCCGCAAAGAGATGTCTACAGCTAAGTGGCATTGAATGACATTCAACAACCATGAGTTAAACCAAAATTGAAGAAAAAAATGGTTGCTGCAAGCACCTTACTATTGATGCACAAATCTGGTTGAATAAGTAATTTTTTGGACGTCATAGCCATAAGCATATGAAAAAATGGTATTTTTCCGAAAGATTGTTTTTAATATTTCGGCTGAGACTTGGCATTATCGAAGAAAATTGAGCCGAATTGGCTATTTTAGGATAAATTCATCGAAAATTCGAAGAAAAACACATGATTGTGCGAAAAATTCACAGTAAATGCACCAAGGAAATTTAAAATGTTCCAAGAAATTTATTGAACTAATTGAAAGAGATTATCCAAATCAACGTAAAAAAATTCCGTCAGAGTATCAAAACCCAATAATAAATCGTTCGAATTGAAAATTATGCACAACGAAAATGCATGTGACGCATTCTGTATTGATTTTTTCATTCAAAGACAATCGAAAATTTTTTTTAGTCTAAAATGCGTTTCCAACACTGAATACAATGAGTGCTCTTCCAAATATTTTTCTCTCTGCTGAGCAGACTCTGAGAGCCAGCTCTTTCCGAATTAAAAGAAAAACAAAAATTGTGTCTTGAAAATGTCCCATAATTTATGATTTCCGGTTGGTAGAACAGAGGCTATGTCTCTGTGTCTCATTATGTGTTAAGAGATTGGTGTGGGCTGTAATGGCAGGGACATTAAATCGCCCGAACATAGCTACCAGAGAGAGAGAGAGAGAGACAGTCACCCATAAAAAAATCCGATTCAAAGCCCTGTGTATATGAGTTGGGTAGAAAAAAAAGCGATGAGTACAACGACCACCAAAACGGATTGAGATAAGAAAATGCATCAATTCCATGCTACTTAAACATCAAAAGCCTACGCGCGCGCTGATAATGAAATGCATTGCATTCAATACGGCGTGTGTTTTTATCAATGAATTTGACCTTTTGATGGCTTGGATCTGGAATCTGTGTTGGCCGAAATCGATGTGCCGTCGGGTTGACACATTTTGATTTCTCATCATATTCGATATTCGTTCTTTTAATTGAGAGTTTCATGAAAAGAAGCCGCTTGCGTTATGCGATGAGAATGAGGCGATGATCAACATGGGATTTCTTCAAAAGAGTGTGAGTGAGTGTATGGAATGGGGAAAAAGAGAAGCAAATCGTGTTGATTCTCGGAAATCGAATGGTCGATAAACAAATGAGTGTAAGATCGACGCGAACGGCGCAGCGGCAGAGTGAGAAAGAATGATGCATTTCGGCACTTTCGGTATTTAAGGAGCGATTTTCAAGGGGTTTTTCAAGTGTTTGCATATACAATTGATTTCATCGGCGAGCATTAATAAACACATTCGGGCTGCTGCATCGGTGTGACATTATGTCTTTGTCACCTAATCTAAACAAATATTTTTTTGTTTAATGAACAATCGGCATTTTTTTTCTCCTCTCTGGTTTGTGTTTGCCCCGGCCCCGAAAGAATTCGGTGAGCGATTTACGTGACACACACATCGGTCGCTTGGAACAACAAAAAAATAAAACAGCAGCAAGCCAGAGGCGAAAATCAATTCCATTCGCCGATAATGTCGGTGATTTTTGTCGCATGAAACCCATTGCGGCGGCATTGGGTCTTTGATCTTTTTCTGCAGTAGCAACTGAACTGTTCGTTAATCTCACAACGACAAATGCACAAACAACTACCTGGTCTCACAGCCTTACTCTCTCTCTCCCTCTCTCTCTCTCGCGTCGTTGCTTTTAAGTTCTAAAATAATCAAACCATATTTTACTTTAATACTTT